CTTTCTAATAATTTGACATTGTACCTGCATTAGGATAAGCTGCTCTTTGTGATCTGTGAATATTTAGTGTAACAGGATCAGCCACACCCTCTATTGGTACAGAGTAGTGTAATGTAGGAACAGCAACAGGTGATGAATAGACCGATATGAGACAAGATGGAGGAAGTGAATAGTCTTCTTTACCAAAATTGTAAATGTCCTCTTGATATAACTATAGTAAGAAAACAATTTGTTGACACAATTAACTTTAAACTTTACTTTGCAAGGTTCTGTGTGAGGTTCAATACTCCATCCTTTATTAGACTTCTTTTGTGGAGCATCAAACTTTAATTCAATAAAACCATCAGGAGACGTAATACGAAAGTATTTATGAGGTCCTTTTTCAGCTAGAGAATGTTCTTTTTTAATAAACTATACACAAAATCCATAATACACATCATGGCTGAAAGTATAGACTAACCTCAAGAAGTGCATCCAATTTCTTAGCTGCAGTAAAAGTCACTAGATCCTCTACACCTTTCTCTTCATAATAAATCAGTCCAGCATATGTTGTAGCTTTTAATAAATTTTTAGGCATACTTCCAGTACTAGCTGATTCTTGCTGTTGGGACACTGGATCTTGATATGATGCACTGCTACCTGTAGCAAGTAAAATAATAATTAATATTAAAAACTTAGCAATTGGCATACTTAATGACATGTAAACACAAATTTAAATACATGTACATGTACATTATAACCATAAAAAGTCCTCAAAATGTACCACAAATATTTCACGGTAGATTAAAATTTACCCCCAGAGCTAGATGATAAAGAGCTCCTTGTTCTCATACTGGGCCCAGGTTCTGATAAAGGATCTAAATAGCAGCAGCAAGATAATGTAAGTAATAACTATGCATGATTACTAACCAGCTAAATTAGATGAAACTTCTGATGAAGAACTGGTACTACTACCTCCTCCTCCTCCTTCATCACAACCACAAATAGATACAAGAGAGAATTTTTCACACTTAATTGATCCATACCAACTATTAGAGCTAAACTCCCCTCCCTCAACTGTTGAGAATTGGTAAGGAAGACTGGGTGTGCTCACGGGAGCTATAGCAAACTTTAAGTATTGTGCAAGATCTGGTCGTCCTCTTAAATCAATGCAGTGCTGTATCTCTAGTTGTAGTGGCTTCAGTAGAGGCTTTGAGAGTGATACTGCATACACAGCACTCACTAGGACAGTATTAGGAGGAAACTGGAACTGTCCTCCTACAAGAACAACCACTGCTACTTCTACTGTCTCAGAGAACAATAGGCTTCCTTCTTGTACTCCAATCCTTAGACCATATTTCTCCCAATTCATCAGTTGAGGTTTGTCTCCTTGAATTAAGAACAAGTTCTTCTCTGCTACTTGGACATCACTCAGACATTTCAAATTATCTGTAACACACATGTAATAATAAAAGAAAATAATCAATGGCTTAAATTAAACTTACCCATTGAGGGGATCATGTAGTTAAATTGTACTCCAACAGAATTAGTTCCTTTGATGCTAAATTGATCATGTTCATCTAGAGTGACATCCATCCTCTCTTCTATTAGAGTGACTTGATCTTTTATAAAACAATACAAAAATGATAATGTGATCATATAATATCAAGTATTAATACACCATGATATATATGTACTAAATAGCTCATAAAAAGGTTAACATGATCAATGCATTAGAAAAACAGCATGTTCAGCAGCTGACCTAAAAGAATCCCTTTCTCTTTAATATCCTGATCCTCCAGTTTAATGACTTTTGCTCCATACACTGGAACTACATAAATAAAAATTATCTTAGCTTATAAAAAATCAAAATAAACCTATGCAAGTCACATACAGCCTTGCATAATTTAATATTACATTAACCTTTAGCGAACTGCACTAACTGCTTCTCAGTTTCCTGCAGTTGTGATTCAAGTCTTTGTATCATTTCCTCTTTTTCCATAAGAGCAGTAACAGCAGAGACTAAAAATATATCCAAGAGTATGTAATAGTAAAAAGCACAATATAGATAATTTCATTAATAATATGTGACCATAATTGACAAAAGGTACCTTATGGTGGATTTTTAAACTCATCATTATAATGAAAAATAACAACCTGTGAGTGCTCTGCTGGTCAACAATTGTTTCTAAAAGTTACATAGTAACTTTTTGCATCCTCTGGAGTAATTTCATGATAAATGGAGCTCAGAAAGTTGGATTTTTTAGGCTATAAAGACAAATTTTCCTATCCGCCATAAGGTACCTTTTGTCAATTATGGTCACATATTACTAAGGATATTTGTGAATGAATCTCTCACATAGTGCTTCCTTAAGTGATTGTTTGTTATGACGTAAAGACTCATTGATACATGTAACTTGAAACTCCTTCACTTTATCTGTCATATACATGTATTCATTCAATTCCTTTCTTCTTTCTTTTAGTATTAGTTCGTACCATAAAGGAATATTATATGAATCTAATACTGGACCCACTGACCATTGACCATCATTAAAAACTGAGGGAGAGAGAAGAAGTAAAATACGGTGTAGAGTTTTTATTTTGTTGGTATCAAATTTCGTGAATTCATTCAGATTTGCCATTTGTTGGTGAAAAATTTCACAAATCTTACCTTCTGCATCCATTTTTCCTAGTGTGCCACACCTTTTTTGGTGGAATTTAATTTCACAAATTTAATGAAAATTATAAAATTAGCAAAATTTATGCCATTGAAATATCACCACTATGGTAAGTTAGTGATTAAGTGAGGGAGATGAAGGATAAAAGAATGACATAATTATACATTGAAATTTCAGGAAAACATATCACTCTACAGAAATAAATTTCTTTTAATAGAGGTATGTGTATTATTAATTATCAACAATAACTAACTTTCTACTTGCCTATAGTTTGGGTAGATTAGCACATGTACATGTACATTTATGACAAAAAAATTTTCTGATGAATTTATAATATAATATTACCTAGTTCCACTACCATTGTGATATTAGGATCAGTGACAGGTTCATTAACCCATTTCATTACTCCTCCTCCAAAATCTTTCTCTTCACCCTCTACATTCCCTCCCACTATTATCAGGAACACATGATTAGGATCAACAACAAAAGATGATACAGTGTGATGGTGTCTACCAGTAACAGAATCAGGTAGAGGAATCTGTGTAGAGAATAAGAAATTAAGTATATACTTTACAGAATGACGTTGGTATCAGTTATATATGGGATAGTTTAACGTAGGTGGCTGTAGATTTGGCATTATGCTCAACAAAATTTCAAACCCAGAAGCAAAAAAGTACATTTAATTAAAATCAAAATAACTTTATCAGCTTCATTCATAGCCATATGCTGGTATAATGACTATAATAATGTAATAATACCTTCATCCAATTATACTGGTTTGTGTCTAATAACAAACAATCATTCACTGGTTCATTGTTTTTATCCATTCCACCAATCACTACTAGTGTAGGTGAGGTAGAGGCACCATTGATAATAGTACTGGCATGATGCTCTCTTTCTTCGAGCCACAGTCCATCATTAGGTACTGATCCTTGTTTAAGACACTCCCACTTCTAAAAATAAATAGTAACAAATACATGTAAAAATGTATCATTCTTATTGTAGTTTCGCCCCTCCCTTTTGCTACCTGTAAAGAAAGGGTCTGGTGACACTGCTATTTAAAATTTGTGCAAAGAAGAGCATGTGGTTAGCCCTATGTAAGGTGACAGAGGAGACCAGATCAGTCAAGACCGGTGAACAAACATTTTACAGCTAATTAAGACAAGACAAGGATAGAGTCTCTTGCAGGTTTGAGAGCAGCAACTCTTTACAGAGTGCCATAGTAATTGATGGTGTACATGTGACAGTATATATATTATTACGTCATAAGTGGGATGGCATCACTGTAGTAAGCAGGACAGAAATGCTGCTTTTAAACCTTGAGAAAGAAGTCCAGGGTGCATTATAGGCTCCTTTCTTCCTTTCTTTTTGTCCTCATTCTTCCTCTTTTGTCTTAAACAGAGCTCTTCGGTCACATGAGTACTTGTCCTACACATGGTCGAGCAATCTGATTGGGATGCCAGATTCTCTGGCATGAAAGCACACATTTTAGACGGCAGTGTTTCCAGACCCTTCCTCCACAGGTAGCAAAGGGGCTGGGTGAGACTATTCTAATTGTTAATGGCTGATAGTGTATAACTTACTATTTTATTATGTGATAATTGAAACAAGTAGATACTGTTAGTAGAAATAGCTCTATCACCATCAGTCACTATTCCTCCATACATAATTCCTTTATTATGACTGATCCTTTCAACTATAAAGGCACATGTTGGTGGAAAACACTGTCCACTCACAGATGGAAAAATCCATTGTCCTAAAAAATTATCAGTAACTGCATGTTATTATTTATTTTTTATTATGCAATACATGTATGGTAAACACAGACAGTATACTATTATACTATCAAGCCCTTATCTACTCTTTACTATTGTATAGTGGGTATAATTCATCTAGAAAAATGTTCCTTTTAAGCAGGATGAGACTTTCATGTTTTATTTCGTTCTGAGCAGCCACTTTGCACATGTGGCATTGAGAAAACGCCTTTTTCGTTTGGAAAATATTCGTTCCACCAGGAATGAGAATGAAAATAAAATCTGACAGATTATACATGTGTACCTGCTATAATGGCATTGACTACAATTTAATTCCTGTCTCAAACATTACAAATTTTAATACAAAATGAGTCACTTACGGCTGGACAGGTCGTAGATATTCTGTTCATTAGTGCTAAGACGATCATCAAGACCAGGTATTTTCTTGTATCTAAACTGATAGTGACGCTGTGTAGTACTTAATTTAGGAGCCAGTCCACCGATAACCAGTAACTGTTGAGAATCACCTCCCCCTGCCATTGCTACCATACCACCATAGCCTCTCTTAGTCACAGAATTGTCACCAGTTGGTTGTAATTCTTTCCATTGAAGAGTTAAAGTGTCTAAACAGTTCAAACTGTTATGGTAGCATTTGCCATGGCCACACCAACCACCAAAATAATAAATATTATTATTAATGGTGGTACAGGAGACTCCTCTGATTCCCAATGGAGGAGTACCACTAGTAGGTTGAGAGGACCAAACACCAGATAATAAGTTAAACGAATCAATAACAGAAGTACACTCTCTCTTTGTAGGAGAATCGTGCGACACATCTAATCCTTCCTGATCCCCTCCCCAGCAGTACAGGACCTATTATTATTATTATTATTATTATTATTATATATTATTTTTTTATAAAACAAGACTTGGAAGCAGGCATGGGGCAAGCACTTACTAAAATTCTTGAAGCACTTCATAAAGCACTGACTGGGGAAATTGTTTATGCACAAACACCATAGGTCAATTTATATTTTCGCCTGCTAATACTTGCAAATTTTTCCCGCCCCCAAACAATTGTCATAGCAACCGGATGATTTTTAATTAAAAACAGCACGTTATCAAACACAGCACCAGGCTGCAGTGTTCTTGAGCTGTTATTCTTCTCACTGTTACTAATCCTGGACACTTTTAAGCTGCTTTAGACAGTTCTTTTTAGAAATAATTATTCTGCTCACTTTGTCGTGTCTTGGGACTCTCCACCCATTCTAGTTAGTGCTCGCTAGTGACTTGGGTGTGGTTTATAATCATGACCGACCAGTACCAATTTTGCAGCAAAGAGCTCAAAGGTAGTGGTCCACACAAGAAGATAACAAATAGAGAACTGGATGGCTCCACTAAAACTACTAAAAATACCATAGGGCACGTTTTTTTTTGGGGACTGTAAATTTCGCGGATTTTTTGATTTTTTAAGATTCACAAAAATTACTTCTGTGAAAATCAAATTAATACAGTACAAGATGGCAGACGGCATAAATTCACCAAAAAATTTAATCTGCAAAATAAAAATCTGTGAAATTTACAACCCTTGAAAAAAAGGTGCCCTAGGGTAGCTGATTAGCTGCTGAACACTGTAATTGTATAAGCACGTGGTCAATTGTCATAGCAACGCTCCATAGGTTTCCAGGGTATTTAATTGAACTTCTTTATTAGATTTTAATGTCGCAAATATTAGCAGTTACGAACATAAATCAACCTACGGTACTTCGATATAGCATTGTGCTTCAAGCACATCTTGAAGTACTTCTAAATATGCTTAAGCACAAGCACTAATGCTATAATAGAAAATGTGCTTTAAGCGATACCTAAAGCATTGTCAAAAGTGCTTAAAAAATAAGTAAAGCACTCAATCTATGATTTAAGGCAATGCATGCTGGCAGCACTTAGGCTGTGAAAGTATCGGCCACTCAAATCTCCAAATTGATTAAAGTAAAAAATCTGGTAGCTTCTTTGTGGTTGTGGGCTTGTGGTCATCTTTAAAGGTTGTTACATGACAACCATATTAGTGATAACTGATAAAAGAGACAAGCATTAAAAAAGAGCTTTAAAGCATTCACATTAAGAAAAGCTTAAGTACAAGTCAAGTACAAGTGCTTGCAATTATGATTAATGCTTGCAAGCACCTTCAAGCAGTTACAAAAAAGTGCTTATAAGCACAAGTGCTTAAGTGCTTGCCTAATGTCTGCTTGGAGAGAGAGAGAGAGAGAGAATTAGGAAAGGCTGTGTCTACAGGTCCGGTAACCGGACACAGTTTTCAATTGCTAGAGATCCGGCAGTCCATTTTACTCCGTAAAACAGCAATAGTGCAAAATGGAACTTTAATCTTTTTATCAAGAAACACTAAACCCTAATCCCAAAACCCTACAATCCCGGAGGCTAAGATGTACGAGAGGATGCTCTAAAAACTAAACACTAAACCCCAATCCCAACCCTACGACCCCGGAGGCTAAGATGTACGAGTGTGTTATTTCTTGACCTAAATAAAGCCAAAAAGGAGAAACAAACAAAAAAAAAATCATTTTAAAAATGAAAAAAAAAACCATAGCATAGTTATGCAATAGTCCTGACCGGATTCGACCCACTGCCCACATCCATGCAATACACATGAGCCTCTCCACTACACCACCATGACCCTGCTGCATTGGTGATACTGGTCTTTGGATTTATACTTGATTATTCATACTGGGGCATAGCCCCAGTATTATATATATATATATATATATATATATATATATATATAGGGGCAAAGCCCCTATTACCGGATCTCTAACCCTGAATACTGTGTCCAGTTACCGGACCTGTATACACTTCGATTAGGAAAAGGGGGAGTAACCCATACCACAAAACAAGAAACAAAGAAAAGAAACAAAAAAACAAGACACACAAACACAGGGAGATGGGAGAAAAGTCCGTCCATACACGGAGGGCACTGACTGAGGACAGGAAGAGCTATGGTTAATATTATTATTATTACCTTTCCTACTACTGCAGTTGTGTGTTGATCTCTCCATCCAAATCGATATTGACCTGCAGAATATCAGAAAAATTACAAGAGAGTGAGGAAGTAACTGACTTGCTAAATTTCTGTCCATCTTGGGAAGGCGTCTGGCCCCACGAGCTGAAATAATGCATTAATTAGAAAATTAATACAAATTTTAGATCTAAGTCAAATTATTAAGAAAATCCTTCAAAATTTTTTGCAAATTTCCCCCAAATTTCTGCAAAAAGTTAAAAATTTTGAAATACAATCCTTAATTTTACACAAATGATATCCAAATTTTGGCACAGATATTTGTAACTCTGATTTTAGCATTAATAATTAGAGTAAATTTTATCTTGAGCAGTGAGCACCAACAATTTAGCTGCACCCTGAGTGTAGCTAACATAATTATGCATCTGACTGGCCATAATTTGGCCAATTAAGAACTAGTCCCACCTAACACAATTATACTACAGTATTTATTATAAAAATCTGAACTTCAACAAAAATATATTGAACTATAGGGAATGTAAACTTGTATGGAAACAAAAATTTATGCTTCATATTCAATATTAAAATCAAATTCCAGTTCATTTCTAATAGCTTCAATCCAGTCCTCACCTAAAGCTATTGCTGCATCAGCATAACTGCCTCTTACAGCAATGAATGAGCTTAAGAACTTTTGGCAGTGGTCCTGCACTTGAGGTAACTTCCTCTTAAAGCTAAGACTAGCCTTGAACTCTGTAATAAAAGTTTCCATTGAGCAAGTTCT